GAAGACTAATTATTAGTATTGAAATGGAATCAGTAATCAAAATTCTCCAAACTTTTTGTTGGGAGTCCAGGGCTAGATGGTTTCACAGGGGAATTCTACCAAACATATAAAGAAGAACTAATAATTATCCTTCTAAAACTACTCCAAAAAATTGAAGAGGAAGGAACACTTAAAAAGTCACTTTAACAGGTCAGCATTAAATGATACCAAAACCTGACAAAGACATTACAAAAAAGAAAGTTACAGGCTAATATCACTGATGAACATAGATACAAAAATCGTCAACAAAATATTAGCAAACCAAGTTCAACAAACACAAAAAGGATCTCGCATTGTGAGATCAGGAACAAGACAAGGATGCCCACTATCATAATTTCTATTTAACATAGAATTGGAAGTCCTAGCCACAGCAATATGACAAGATAGAGAAATAAAACACATCCAAATTGGAAAGGAAGAAATAAAATTGCCACTATTTGCAGCTGACATGATACTGCATAGAAAACCCTGAAGACTCCCCCTGAAAAATCTATTAGAATAAACGAATTCAGTAAAGTTGCAGAGTACAAGATGAATATACAGAAATCTGTTGCATTTCTACACACTAAAAACAAACTATCATAAAGATAAAACAATCCTATTTACAACCACATAAAAAAATAAAATGTCTAAGAATAAATTTAGGAGATGAAAAGAGGAGATGAAAGACCTATACTCTGAAACCTATAAGATATTGATAAAGAAAACTGAAGATTGTTGAAGGAAACTGAACAAACAAATGGAAAGATATCCGTGTTCACGGATTGGAAGAATTAATATTGATAAAATCCGTACTACCCCAAACAGATTTAACGCAATCCCTGTCAAAATACCTATGACATTTTTCACAGAACTAGAACAGATAATCCTAAAATTTGTATGGAACCACAAAAGACCTTGAATAGCCAAAACAATCCTGAGAAAAATGAACAAAGCTGGAGGTATCACACTCCCTGACTTCAGACTATACTACAGAGTCATAGTAATCAAAACAGCATGAGACTGGCACAAAAACAGGCATGTAGATCAATGAACAGAATAGAGAGCCCAGAAATAAACCCATGCACTTATGGTCACTTAATCTACAACAAACAAGGCAAGAATTTACAATGGGGAAAAGACAGTCTCTTCAATAAGTGGTGATGGGAAAACTGGACAGCTACACATGAAAAATCAAAGTTAGAACATTTTCTCATACCATATAAAAAAATCAACTTAAAATGGATAAAAGACGTAAATGTAAGACCAGAAACCATAAGACTCCTAGAAGAAAACAGGCAGTATTCTCCTTGACAAAGGTCTTGGCAATATTTCTTTGGATCAAAACACAAAAATAAACAAGTGGGACCTAATTAAATGTAAAAGCTTTGCACAGAGAAGGAAACTGTCAACCAAACAAAAAGGCAACCTACTGAATGGGAGGAGATATTTGCAAGTGATATGTCTAATAAGGAGTTAATACCCAAAATATATAAAGAGCTCATACAATTCAATATCAAAAAAAGAAGAAAAAACAACTTGATTAAAAATTGGATAGAGAACACGAATAGGCGTTTTTCCAAAGAAGACATACAGATGGTCAACAGGTACATGAAAAGATGCTCAATATCACTAATCATCAGGGTAATGCAAATCGAAACCACAATGAGATATTACCTCATGCCTGTCAGAATAGCTATTGTCAAAAAGACAAGAAATATCAAGTGTTGGCAAGGATGTGGAGAAAAGGGAACTCTAGTACTTTGCTGATGGGAATGTAAATTGGTACAGCCACTATCAAAATCAGTTTGGAGGTTCCTCGAAAGATTAAAAATAGAACTACCATATGATCCAGCAATTCCACTCCTGGGTTATATTTGAAGAAAATGAAAACACTAATTGAAAAAGATATATGCACTCGAGTGTTCATAGTGGAATTATTTATAATAGCCAAGATATAGAAGCTACCTAAGTGTCCATTAACAGATGAGTGGATAAAGAAGATGTGGTATATATACACAATGTAATATTACTCAGCCATAAAAAGAATGAAATTTTGCCATTTGCAACAACATGGATGGACCTGGGGGATATTATGTTCAGTGAAATAAGTCAGACAGAAAAAGACAAATACTGAATACTTTAACAGATATGTGGAATCTAAAATATAAAACAAAAAATGAATATAATAAAACCAAACAGACTCTCAGATACAGAGAACAAACTAGTGGTTACCAGTGGGGAGGCAGGGGAGGGGTAAGATAGGTGAAGAGGATTAAGAGTTACAAACTACTAGGTATAAAACAAATAAAATATAAGCATGTAATGTACAACCCAGAGAGTATAGCCAACATTTTATACTAATTTATATGGAGTATAACCTATAAAAATATTGAATCTCTATGTTACACACCTGAAACTAATTATTATACTGTAAGTTAACTATATTTCAAATAAAACAAAAAGGTTTTTACTTTGATTCTAATTGCTTGTTTAATTGCTTCAAATCCCCACTAGTCTTCAAGCAATTACAGAGCAGGAAACATGTCTGCCTTGCCATTTTATCCCCAGTGCTGACTACAGTGCTTGCAAAAATAACGGTGTTAAAAAAAAAAAAGAAAAAGAATAATATTTTCTGAACTCAATGGCAAATCGTATTTGGAAGCTACACCCTATGACATTTTTATGAAACAGTCTAAAAATTATAATAAATTATTGGCTTCAAGACATTTCTAGGCTGATGAGCTCTTTGAATAATTTAAAATATGACAGTAAATTTAAAAACCTTTAAATGCATTCAAATTTTATTTATGATGGTCACCTTGCTAGTGTTTGTGGTTTTCTATCTATTCCACATAGGCTCCTTGAATCTATCAGTGTCCTGCATAGCAACTGGATACTATATTAGAAATGAGGACACCTCCAACTCTATTAAATAACAATATGTATTTATGCAAGTCACTGAATCCTAGGGTATTCCATTTGCTTTGTTTGTAAGCTGAAAAGAATGGTGTACGTGATCTCCAAAATGCTGTTGTTCTTGTCATACCATATATTTTATGTCATATCAATAATACTGGCTTTCCATAAAAGAGTAGATGAGTCATCACTAAACATACAGTCACATTTTAGTATTACTGGAAGATGGGTTTAGTTCTGAATAACTGTTTCAAGAACATTGTTTTAGTGTGCAGGCAATAGTTAACTAGTAGAACGTCCTTTCTTGCTGACCTTTGAGTTTATTTGCCAATTGGATTGTGATGATTTATTAAGGTAGATGATTTTCTTTGAAATGAAAAAAAAACTAAAAAATTTTTTAAAACTATGTTCAGTGCTTCATAGTGTTGCTTACCAATGTTTAAAGGTAAAACAAATCTATTTGTTTTTTAGATTAACAAATCATATGTTCATTGATGGTTTCCACTCAACTATGTGGCCTTATGTACTATATTCATATTAGTTCTTTATTCCAACTTTTTTTTTTTTTGCTTCTCTTTATACCACTAGTCTTCTAGTCATTTTTAGGTCTTTCTCTTGAACTACTTTATGTTCTTCAAATTTCACGTAATGTAGAAGCCAAACTGCAAAGGTGGGACAATAAATATGGTTAATAGGGGCCATAAAGGAATTCCTTTACAATTCATTAATTTTCTGTTCACTAACATTTTAATGTCATTTAAATTTTTTTTAGAAATAACAAAACATTGGTGATTTAAATCAATTTGATCTCTATCAGGAGCTTATTAGTAGGCAGAAATAGATGTGATTGGCTACACATGATTAGGGGCATGCACTTTGCTTTAAAACAAATAAAACAAACAAAACAAGAAAAAAGGGGGAAAATCAATAAAAAAATATACCACCATTATTTTTATATCTTTCAAGTGTTTTGGTTTTATAGAGTCACCTATTAAGTTGAAAACATCCTCATGTCACACTGAGTAATAGGCAGTATGACGATGTTAGGAAGAGTTGGTGTTTAGTTGTAGTTTCCAAGTTTAGAAAAGAAGACAGTATATGCTGTAGGTCAGTATCAAGGAGATCAGACCGAGTCAAGAGCAAAACACTAGAAAAGACTGGAGAAATTGTAGATTCGACTTACAGTGTTCTCTGTAGGTATAAATCAAGATATGTAAATGAAAATCCTGGCAGAAGAGTAGATTAGGCTCTCAAAGATTGTATAAAGAACAGAACAAGGTGGAGACGGAAGAAAATAGTAAAATTCAGGAAAGGGTAAAGAAGAGGAGTTTTTCTTAGAAACATGAAGTTGAGGAGCTGGGACCCCATCATCAAGAGGCAGAGCCAATGACTAATATGAGTGGGAGCCTTTATTTCTCTAAGGGAAGGAACTGAGTTCAAAGGGGTAAGAAAGCAGAAGTATTTAAGTTATGAGTGACTGGTGAATGTTCTATCACTCCCTGGCAAGTTCACTTAGTGAATTCTTATCACCAAACCACATGGTAGGAGTTACCAGAAATAGGGCTCGGGGAAATCACCTTCAATATTTGTAGGCATGGTTTGTAGTGGATATGGCTTTAATAGCCACAAGCTGAAGAGTGAGAAATATGTCATATACCTATGCCTTCTTCTTATAAACTCAAATTAGGTTCTGAGAACCCAATCAACTGGGAGAATTGAGTCTTTGTTGACTTTGGAGATTCTCTTTCTTCCTGTCAAGGTCATGGATAAATTCTAGAAGGTTAATCTGCATGAAAGCCTCAGAGGCTGTTCATGTACTTTGTTCTCACTGATTATTACTAAAATGTCCAATGACCAAGTCTTCACGGTACCCTGGGTTTCTGGGACTCTTTTGTTTCTGTGTTATGTTTTGGGTACAAAAAACCTTTATGGAAAGTGGGAGATCTGGAGATGCTAGGAGATGCTTCCTCAGGCTCTGCTTACAGCCATTGAAATCCTACCACTCCCCCTGGGGTATGGTAATGAAAATGGAGAAAAATCCTCTTTTTTTTTTTGCCTTTTAGAGTCCTGCCTATCCACCCTCTACCAAAGTCAATTCTTCTCCATGATATCAAGCATAATCTCTTCAAATGTGTTTGAACACTTAAAAAGCTGTAACACGTAGTTAACTTCAAGTGAGTTCTGTTTTCTGCTCTACAAAAATCTTTATGGTAAGAACATTCAAATGGCACAACAATTTGCTTAGAAATAAGGGAAGGAAAAAATGGAGGTCAGTCACATATACATAACTCAACAATTTAGCTAGTCACTTTGTACCACTAGAAAACCTTTGTGTCCTCTCAAAGAACACTTGTTTCCCATTCCTGTGTGACCACATGCCATTATCACAGTCACCATGTCTACCACCACCAGAAAGCTGAAACATGTACACGTCATCCTGTATGGAGATGTTACCCCATAGTGTGACATGTACACAAAACAGTGCCTGTCGACATCTCAAGAGCTAGGAAGGTGAGCTTGGGTGCCAGGATAATGTTTGACGACCCCTTTCAGGAGCTCACTTTTCTTAATCTTCCTTCTCCCACCACCAGTTCCATCCCACCCAGGGTTTCAGTCTTAGAAGGGTTCTAGGGCCCCACTTATTCTCACTGGTGTTTGTCCTAAACGTAAGCACATCTGACCTAAATGCAGTTATATAAAGCTTATATTTATTACTGGCAATTACAGCATTGAATCTTATGTCCACCAATACAATGTCATCTTCCTGATCATCCCTTTTCTTCCGCCATACCTGTATCAAGATCTCCTGCTGATGTTTTCCTAGATTAAGTTAGTTTGGCCTCTTTATCTCACCCATTTGAGGATCAGACTTTCAAGGGTGAGAGAAGAATGAGAAGTTACGGTGCATAATTGCCTAGGAGCAGAGTGGTCTCGCTCTAGCTTACCTGAAAATGTCACTTGCTCAAAACAGTATTATGGCTTTATTCCATCAGTATCAGCTGAGTGTTGTTTTCTTGGGTGGGTGTGGTTCACCCTGACATGTTCTTCTTTCCCACAAAGAGTTGTGTATGCTTGCAAAAACTCCTTGCAGTTGCTCTTGGGGGTGTTTCCTCTTTGAGAAGGGCAGGAAAAGAGAGAATATCTTGTTTCCTGACCAAGTGGGAAGGCTGATCACGCAAGGACCCAGCTTCTCAGGTCTGAAGGGAGAGTGCAGAGGGTTTTAAGAATGTCTTTCACACCACTGTGCTTGGTGCCAGAGGGCAAATATCAAAAAATCAGCCAAGGTGATTTACAAGGACAAGGTATTTGGGTGTGTCTGACTGTAAAGATTAAGGCTAGTGCTCTTAAGAAAAGAATTTGGAGTTGAGGAACCAAGTCAAACGAGGTTAGAATATGGACAGAATAGTGTGATTGGGTGGATCAGAACAATTCTAGAGATGTTGGTTAATGGTCAAGTCTAGATACTTAGATATTTCCCAGTTTCCACAGTAATGCGGATGAAGGCACCAATCCCCATTTAAAAAATTTTTATCATAAAAAAGAAAAAAAAAGCCCAGGAATAAGAATGCTCTAGATACACTCAGTGCTGATGACATAATTTGGAGTTAAAATAGAGAGTATAAATCATTTGGAGGGCTTCCCTAGTGGTGCAGTGGTTAAGAATCCACCTGCCAAGGGTCGGCGGAATCCGTCAAGCCCTGGTCCAGGAAGATCCCACATACCACGGAGCAATTAAGCCCCTGCGCCACAGGAACTGATCCTGTGCTCTAGAGTCCGCGAGCCACAACTACTAAGCCCTTGTGCCACGACAGCTGAAGCCTGCGCGCCTAGAGCCCATGCTCCACAACAAGAGAAGCCACTGCAATGAGAAGCCTGCGCACCGCAACAAAGAGTAGCCCCCGCTCGCAGCAACTTAGAGAAAGCCCGCATGCAGCAACGAAGACCCAATACAGCCAAAAACAAATAAATAAAAATTTAAAAACAAATTTGGATGCCCATGAAGCTATAAGTTCCTCGATGGGACATGTCAAAGAGGAAGGGTGATCAGACTGGTAAATATCAGTCTTGAGGCTTGCTGTCTCATGTGTGCGTCTAACACTGACCCCCGCCACAAGAGGCCACAAGAAACACTCATTTAGGCTTTGAATGGCATTCAGTGGATAATATCAAGTTTTCTAAATGAAGTGGCCTATGTAAGCACCTTCGTGTCAGGTGCAAATAGATAATCAATATTCTTATATTAAGTACAATAATGTATCAGGGGATATCCATAGCAGCTGCCCAAGGCCCAATTAGGAGAAAACGAGTTTGGGGACTTTAGTTCATTCAAAGCGATTTTTGTGGTTAAAAAATCTAATCCCTAAAAGGATTTATGAAGACAAAATTATGGAGTCAATTATTCAAGAACCAGGGAGCCACAGTATATACTATTCCTGTCTTCCTTACCAGACTTTGAACTTCTTAAGGGTCTGGAATATATATATTGCATCTTCCATGCCTGGAATGTAGAATGTACTAAATAAGTGTTTCTAGAATAAATGTACGATTTCTTTTTCACTTCGCTTATTGCAGTAATGTTCTCCATTTTTCTCCATTTCCCCCTATTTCCCAAGCACCTTTTGCCCCTTGGCCTAGATATTGAATATGTTTCATCATATTTTAAATAGACCTAGTCAGAGGTTCCCATGATAATCTCTGCCACAAGCATGTTGGCCAAGGTGCCAGGGCATCAGGAGGCGTGCCAGCACATTGCATAAGTGCCTGGATCATGTAATCAGATACTGTGACATGGAACAAAGTGAGCAGGGGAAGCCAAAGAAGTAAGACAGAGTGAAAGGGGAAAGGAGAAAACCAGAGAACTGCTACGACAATGCACTAGAAGCAGGGGAGGCTGTCAGATTCTTCTGCAGCCATGCTGTCAGAGAGTTTACTGATAGAGAAAGGTTGAAATAAAATCCAGAATCTAAGTGTGAGAAGAGTTATTAGACCACTCGATCGAAGATCAAAGACAAGAAATAGACATTTCCTTTTGTGGCACAGAGCTTGTGATCGCCCTAGTATAGCTGGGACACACAAAGCTATGGTAGAGGCCGGGATCACTCACTAATACTGTTTGTACTTCATTTTTCTCTGAAATTTATTACAGATTTTGTTCCAAGGGATTATAGAAGAAATAAGAAAAGTTTTAGAATGTATTTGAATGCAATCTATGAAATGTCATTTGTTTTAAAAATCTGAAAGGAAAGGGATTTCACTTCATAGCGCATTTTCCTCATTTTAGGCACTATCGTTTTCTGCTTACCCTCAAGTGATTGTTTTCTAATACTCTTGCATATTTGGCAAAAAATTGATAAACAATACACTGTAATTTTATATACAGTAAAGATTAGAAAATGATTGTGGTAAGGGGTGCCTGGTGAAGACACTAACATCTCTACATGTTCCTGTAAAAGAGCCTTGAGGTGATATTTTTTCAAATCATCTTGTTCAAACTTTGCTCTCAGGAACCTTAATGTCACCACTTACCTGTACCCAAGATTTTCTAAATAGTTTTAACATTACAGAAAGAAATGTTCTGGGAGCAGGTGTGTAAGAGATGTCTGGATGTCAGATAATTTAGGATCTGAGCTCATTCTGTTTATTTACAGCTTGATAACTCTAGGGAGGAAATGTATTCCCTTTTTATTTACAGGATCTCCCAGGTGAAAGACAATTGTTCTTAGGTCATTCTCCCAGCTCTTTCAATCAAAGTTCTTGGACTTAAAACTGATTTTTTTTCCCCAAAGCTGTATATATCTTGGAGGAGGTAGATGATTTTGGAGAAGAAGGTACAAGATAGAAAAAAGGGTACACAGGCTATGAAGTGATTTGACATGCTATTTCTTGTAAAAGTCCTTAAGGAATCTTCACTTGCATGATCAGCTTCCCCAAACTGAATGAATACTAACTTTACACTGAATTAATACTCATAAAGTAGTTATAAAAAAAACCATAGAATATTGTTTATGAGGCACTGTTGGTTCTATTTCTTATTCTACTATAAGTAGATAAACATTTTTCTTTCTTAGACTCTTACATAAACTAAGAATATAAGTGTAATTCTGGCAGGTAGCATAAAGTGACATTTCCTTGGAAAAATATTTAAACCATAGCATTCATACTGTCTTTTCATACTTTTTATTTTTTAAAACTAATATTTTGGGGTTTTTATTGTGTTAAAGATGAGCATGTTCCTTAAATGTAATTAGGGAAATACTTAAAAATGAAAAACATATATATCTATTATTTGTTCCACTAACTAAAGGTGACCACTCTAAAGGTTTTGTATATTTTCTTCCAATGAAAAGCCTATTTCTTAAGAGTAGCACTTACTGATGATCAGTTATTGTAAAGTATCAGAAAATTAAGAAATCCAGTGTTATTAATTAGGATTTGAAAGAAATGATAGAAATAAAATAGTCATACTTAACTAAATTTATCATGACAACTTAGTTCTCATTCATTTAGGCTTTGCATCTATTGGATTCATTTTTTTCTTCTGATTGGAGTATTTTCTGATGTTCTAAATATCTATTATTATGGTTCATTTTGACCACTATTCCTAGATATTATCATAGCAAATATCTATAGAGCATAGTAAAACAAAACAAAACAAGACAAAAACAAAAACAAAAACCACCCTTGATTCTGATTTCAGGCCCTTCACACATCTCAATTTCAAAGTTATATAGTGATAAGTCCAAGGCCAAATTTAGAATCCATGTAACCCACAATCTAACCTTCAGGGGCCCAGGATTCATAGCTCTTGCTCAGAGCTGAGGAAGAGTGGTCCTTGGTTTTAAAAGAAGGTGGGTTGGGGCAGCTGAGTATTGGGAAATCACCCAAGTGACAGTGTTTGGAAAACATAGATTCATGGGTGATCCATTAAAAATTCATTTCCTGTTCCAGAACTGTAGTTGTAAGGGTAAAGACAATAACAGACAACCAACATAAGGAAGGATGTTATTATCAAAGTAGATTTTGACACCTGACGAGTGGCTATTCTAATAGCAATGGTAATGAGCAATGTCTGGCTAATATATAGGATAGTTTCCTCATCTCATAGATTACCTGCACTATAGTGTTCTTTTCAAAGGAGACGTCATGAGGCTTAAGTGAGATGGTTAATGAGTTAGTTCTGTGACTGCTAAGTAGCTTTAAGGTGGGGTGT